ACACCTAAATATGGATTTCTATTAAAATCTACATAGTTAGCAGTAGTAGATTTCATTCTCAGATCATTCTAAAATGGAAAAAATTGAAAACTTTTTTTATGAAAACAGTTTCACAGCTGATGGATAGGTTCTTGAGCTATCCCATAAATGCTTATTCTGGAGATAACAATTATCTTTAAGAGTAAAACTGCACTCTATGCCTCACTAGAAAAGCTTAGTAATGCAGACCCAGGCCTAACAGTCTGTGTGCATTCTGAGTGTCATTGAGATGCTTCAAGGGATGAGAGCCTGGTTGTGGTCTGTGTCTGGGGAGCTCCGCATCAGTTGAAAAGAAAATAGCACTAAGCAGGAGGTAAAGAGGACCCCAGGGAAGGAGAATCCCTGGCATAGTGGATATTAAGACCAAGACAGAAAATGACAGCAGGGCAAAGTTCACATAGGAAAGGAAATGATTGCCAGGGATGGCCTTCTTTGTTGAGAGCATCAAGAATGTGGGTAGCAGGGCCCTCCCTGGTGGTGCAGCAGGTTAAAGGTAGCACTAAGAAGCTAAAGCCACTTCAGTATGAGTTCAATCCCTGTCCCAGAAGTGACCCATATGGTGCGGCAGATCTCCCCTGACCCGCCCACTGCTCCCCTCAGAAGTGTACTTTGTCAGTCAGCCTGTTCTGCTCCCCACTCTGTCTCTGATGAATCCTCTCACCGCCCTGCACCTCTGACCTGTACCCCAGTTCTGCATGCATAAATAAATATTTAAAAATAAAAGAATGTGGGTAGCACAGCTGAAAAAGGAATTCAGAGGAGACAAGTAAACAGGAAAGGATAGCAGGCAAAATGTTCTCAGGGCAATTGCCAGTTACAAGGATCACAGACACAATTTTCTAAGGATATTAATTACCTATCAACCTCATGGAGGGCTGTGGTGCTTATGGACTGAAAATACAAAATGCCACAATATGGTCATATATTTGTCTTTGTTTTACCCTTATTCAACCTCTAACTCAACAACAAAACCAGTAAAATCCCACCTCATACATTAAACTCAGATCACTGAGAAAGATAGTCAGCAGCCTGAGTCTCCAAAAGACAAAGTTTCTGCAGAATGCCCAGCCTGACCGAGACAGAGGCACGATCACTATGCTCACTGCACAGAGCAACTGGCTTCCACCAATAATGGAAAGCAGAAAGAGACCTTGCATAAAAATTGCTACTAAAAATCCCTAGGATAAATTTTGGCACAAAATCTTAAAAATAATGTCTTAGTTCTCTAGAAATAATGTCTGGTTTAAGCTGGTTCTCATCACATTCTAAATCTGGACAGATGTTGCTTTGTACTTTGATTTGACCTTTAGTTGTGAAGCTGTTTTACTGATTATGCAGCTATTTCATTCCAATCGGTTCTACAACACAGGTCACTACCTAAGACTGCCTGCTACCTTAGGGTAGTAAAATGATTTTTTAGTTAATTCCCCATGGGTATTATGTCTGGCATTGGGCTCACTCTTCCCCAGCTCTGGTGAGGAGTTGCTGTCTACTGTCCTTCCCCTGTCACTGTTTTCAGCCTCAGTGGTGATAGTGATGGATGGCTGAATCCAGACTGAAATATAAGAGTCAGCTGTCATCAACAGATCACATTTGAAGATTAGTCCAGAAAAGGAGCAGGTTTGAATGGATCCTAATATGATAAATGCTTTCATTCACTGCATTTCCAATAAAATACAAGCTTAAAAAATAATTTTCAATTCTCCCCTTGTCAATAGTTCAAACAATACTGAATATAGCATTGTTCCAATGTAACAGGAGAAAATTAAGCTCTAGAGTTTAGTAGACATTATCTGCATGGTAATAGCAGTGTATCTGTAAATCTAGTTGATATGTGTATATCATCTATTTCAAGGGTACAGAGAAATTTTAAAATATGAGCTTACTTAGCAAATTAGCCATGTGACCACAATTATAACATACTTATTTAAGAGAATAAACTATTTACACAAGTAAAAAGCAAGTTTATACAATTGCTAAGATAATGATGAATCATTCATATTTTTAAAAAGTAGATACTAAAGGACCTGACCATTCTAAGTTCCAAAGAAATAATTATGTAATCTGATTGAATTTTTCCCAAATATATTATGTATATACCTTGGATTGTTTTGTTTATTTTTCTAGCTTACTTAGTGATGTTTAACTCTCCCCCTGGTGCTCTTCCATGTCAGCATTTCAGTTACCTGGTACCAGCTCTTTCATCAAACCTGACTGGAGAAATTAGGAGGGGACCCTAACCAACAATGCCAGAGAGGAGATCTGATTCCCATTCATTTCTGATATTTACCCTACTGGCACAGAATTTAGAATAGAATAGATACACACTAAGTGTTTGCAAAATGAAAGGACAAGGTAGAAAACAACAGATCAACAAACCAACATGTAACACAATTAGATTTATTATGTTAGTATGCATTCTATCACTTAATTAGTAAAAAATTAGCAGGAGGAATGAAGGCCCATATCAGTGCATTTCAATTCATCATTCCTTAAAGTAAGTGAAATCAACAAAGAACAGCCAAAGGAAGTTAATCTCCCCACGCTCTGCCTCCCCACTGAAAGCATGAGGACAGCTTGTGTCAGCACTTCTGAGAAGGGTCATGCTGTTGTTGCTACTATGACATGATGGGAGGAAGGAAAAAAGGAAAAGATTTATTAGTTAATTACCCAAGAGGATTATGTCTGGCATTGGACTAAGTAATTTGAGGTGATAGCCTAGGCAATACAGCAAGGAGAGGTGAAAAGGGGCAAATGTTAGAAATAATTCACTTTACATTCTGAAAGACTCACTTTCATAGGGGCCATGCTAACAAGTCAGACAGCACTATACCAATCAGGCAATCATGATGCAATGAAAGCTACATCTAGAATTATGGATAAAACTTACCACCTAGAAGGAAAATTTATTTTTAAAAAGCATCCAGAGGAAGAAGATAAAAGAAACACATTTCATATGGTTAGTTTTTATGATGACTCCTACATAGTTACCACACTTATAACAGCATGTATTGCAAGTAATAATTCCAAAAGCTATTTTAAAGAGACACAGCCCCCCAAAAGACAACCCCAAGTAATGTAGCACACATTTTTAAAAATAAAGCTGAGCACTAATAATTACCAAAAATGCAATATTTTGAAAATTACAATATAGATATTTACTTGTGCTTACAAGTTTTCTCCGTTTATGTAATTCTGCTATAATAACTGTTAATTATTCATGATTAGCACAATTCAAGATACCATTAAAATATTCAGTTATAGAAACTGTTTCAAATTCTAGTTGCTAAAAAGAAGTATAATGCTTCATTTAATTTCCTTTCAATTCCTCAAAAAAAACCAAAAATGGTCTGAAGATAGAGAAAGAACTTCAAGAATGTCGTTCTGAATCTAGGGTCTGCTGAGCTATCTGAATAATGATTAAACCTCACAACTTTATTTGCTCCTCCAAATTATTGTGATCAAGAAGAATTTTATTTGAAACTACTAATAAAGCAATATTAGCTTTTTTAAAAATCCAGCTTTTAATAGAAACAAATGCCCCTTCAATCTAACAACGATCATAGATATTCTATAAGATCCTCAACCTTTAGGTAAGAATTGAACTGCTACCAGATAATTTCCCCCATCTCATCATCACATGTTTTCTCAGCCAACAGATGCTAAATGCACAACTATCACATGAAAATGAGGCCTCAAAATATCTGATGTGAAGAAGATGCCTCGTGCTGGGAATTGCTGGCTTGGATCAGTGTTATATGTGGACAAGCGTACTCAAAATTGTCTCCTTCTGCTGGAAGGAGAAAATGAGGTTGAGAAAATGAGTGGGAGGGGAGGAACAGGACAGGGTTCCAACTGTTATCACAAGATTGGCAGAGAAGAAAGCAGTGAAAACTTGCTTCATATATGACAGAAAAACAGAAATCCGGCCAGTCATTGAGCGGTCACTCCCCCACCCCCCAACAAACTGTGTGAGAATCAGACAATGATAGTCAGTTTAAGGCTCACACTGTGGAAATACCAGTGCTTCCATTCCTCAAGACAGCTTACCCTAATACCATGAATGTCCACTGTAGGTGTAATTTTAACCCATATAATCTCTGGATGTACTGAATGCACTAAGTTATTCTAAATACACCCCTTGCAAACTGCAAAAGGAGCTTCCTACTTTCGTTCTGTGAAATTTGTGACATTCTAAAATTGTCCTTCTAACACTCTATCTCATCCTCATTTTTCTGACTATAGGGCCCCTTCTTCCCCTCAGTACATGCTAAAGACTCCATGCAGCTTCATTTTACCTTTCTAAGAGGGGCATTATAGTTTTAAATAAGGAAATTCTGTGGTCTTTGGAATGGTAAACAAATTGGGATTATTGATAGATACAAGTATTAATTTTTTTAATTGTAAGATAAGTCATATTCTCACAACCAAGATTTTCTTTAGGTCTATGAAACATTATTTCTGCAAATAAATGGATGTGGGACTATGAAATAATTTCTGCTTTAAGTATACATTGATCAATATTTAACTAAGACATTTTCATTTCCTCCAGTATGAATACTGCTTAACTAAATAAATTCTAAATCCCACACTATGAATGATGAAGGTTTATATATGAAGTTCATCCTGTATTTTAAATATGAGAATGTAATAAAGTTGTTTTGGTATTTCAACTACTAAAAGGGCAGGTGAGCATTCTTAAGACTTACTACTGTACTAGTAAAGACACTGTTGACATTTTCAGACATAACTTCATGATATCCTCTTTACATTATTGTATAGAGGCCATTCCAGTTGACCAAAAAAACAAGTAAAAGCTGTCTCTGCCCTCTAATTAAGAACAAAGACACAGAACTAGACACATTACGGGTAAACAACTGCAAGCACACAGACAAAATGGTATGCACTGAAAATTATGCTCTGTTCATGTCTGTTAGACAGCATCACACACCTACACTTACATGGCCATGGAGATCTGTATTAAGGAGCATCATTGCACAGGTCAGGCAATGGACTCCATCTAAAGAGAGAGAGAAGGACAGAAAGTATTAGTTCACTGTTTCCTGTTGGATCCTAAATTACTATCATTAAAATAGCATACATCAAGAACTTTAAAAACACGATACTGTGATTAGGCACAATAAATCACACTGTTTCAGAGAGACAGACAATAGATAAGAATAAATTATTAAAAGGATCTCAATGGACAGAGTTGGAAACTATTGGTGATATAGTAAACTATTGCTGGTTCTCTGGAGAACAGCTTGATAGTACATATCTTAAGCTTTGAAACAGTGTCCTCTGACACAGTAAATTGACTCTAAGGGTTTTATACTAAGGAAATGTGGACCTACACAAAACACATTGGGAGCCAAGGAAACGGTGCTTATAGTGGGTAACAAGTAAATATTACCCTTCCAAAAACACAATTCTGTTACACTGAAGTCATTAAACATGTGATCCAAATACTCAGGTTGAAAAATTATTTTGCAATCAATGATTATATGGAAAACATATTATGTGCAGTATGATGTTATTTCAGCATAAAGATACCTAACAGATTATATCACATAATATTAAAAGAATCCAGAGGAAAAAGAATGTCTGGAGAATGAAATTATAATTTTATATAAGTATAAAACAGGTTATGGAAATGAAAATAAATTGAATGTTGTTACTTTTTTCACTATTTTTTTTTTGAGGAAAGCAGTAAAAATTAAGGAAAACATGATTTGTTTCCCTCAATGTATTTAGGTATTTCTCTAGATGAAAATAGGTATGCAGAAAGTTATTTTCTTTTTTGCCATTCTTTAAAGGCAACTTTAGGTTGACTGAGGATACTACAAAAGGAGGAGACAAAAGTAAAACAGTGAATTAATTTGTGAAGATTAAAAGATTGTTGGGTGAAAAAAATTGCCCACATCAAAGGATCACTTTACACTTCCATGGAAATAGCCTATATAAAGGGGAGGGGAAAGCACTAAAAACCAAGTTTCTCATTTCTAAATCTTAAGTTTTTACCTCCTTATTTTCTCCCTCAAATTCTCAATCCAATATAGAAGACAACAGCAATTAATGGTGCAGAAAAATTTTATCAATTTATGCTAACTGTACAGAAAGACCTGTCTAATTACTGAATTCATGAATTAAAGATGGCTCATTTTTCAGAAGTATGCCATTAAGCATGGATTTCTGTTACTAATATTTCAAAGGATATGCTACTAATAGTATGCTTACTTTAGTTCCAGTTTACTAATACAAATTCTAAGACATTTAAAGTATTTTCCTGAATATATTTGTAAGACTCAGCAACCAAAAATTTGTATCTCAGCCAACTGAACACACAAATCCATATTACTTGGTTCACTCAGAAATGTCAATATCCCTTTAGATTTGAAAAAGGTCCTATAAAACAATCCTCATCTACCCTTTCATACTCTAGTTAATGCTAGACAGTGATCAAGACAGGGAGAAAGGGTCAGATAAAAGAATGAAGAAATAAAAGTACCCATTTTACATATAGAAATGTAGCCTTAATGATCACAGGATTGGAGTTAATTTAGCTACAGTCTGTGAGGCAAAGTTAGGGACAGCAAATAATTAATCAACATCCAAGTACACTTTTCCTAGTTAACTGGCAATAATAAAGCTCAGAGATAATTAGTATTTCATGTGCATCTCAGTGCACAATAGTCTCAGTGACTTATTCCAGTATTTATAAGCTTATGACAGATTCTCTAATGGCAAGTATGGCTGACTTAAAAACCTTGCTAACTTCACTTAATTGCACCATTTGAAATGGAGAAAAGATACTTCTCCACGGGCACTCAACAATTAGAGCTTAATAAGGTAGATTCCTAAAAACAGTATAATAAAAATGAACCCAAAATTCATTAAAATCATGTATCAAAGTGGTGAATGTTGACACAATAAAGACTGTAAAAAAAAAAAAAAAAAACTCGTGAGATTTGAAGCCTAACCAAAAAATTAAGGAGACATGCAACTCATCAAGAAGTAGAAGAGAAGAAATAAGAAACTCAGTATTCATTTACCACAGCACACTCTGTATGTAAAATATCAGAGGGAGAAAGTGTGAGTAATTTAAAGAAATATATTATCATACTATGGAAGAAATAGAATAGATAATATAATACAGACATTAAAAATGCTTTAAAAGGATATTTGATGGCATGAGAAAATGCTCACAATGGAAGGGAAAGATAATAGGAACTAATGATTTCCAATTTGATATTAAGTATTTTACATAGAGAGGGAGAGACTAAAAGGAAGTAAGTCAAATTTAATAATTATGTCTAGGTAGAGCTATCTAGATAACTTTCATTTTCTCCTGTATAACTTTCCTTGTTTTCTAAAATAATGTGTAACTTTAGAATAAGGAAAATGACTCTGTAGTAAAAAAAAATTCCAACACTTGCATCAAATTACCTTGTGAAGCAATGGTATCTGGATTGCAGTAAAAATATCTATTGGAGAAGTGTATTAAAACTCTCTCTCGTTCTTGAGTTTCTCCCACAAGAGAAAATGCTTTAAAGAAGTACCTAAAAAAGAATTAGAGGAAAAATGAAATTTTAGAATATGTAAACATGCTTTCTCCATTTGAAAGTTCAATTCATATAAACATAAGGTATTAATTATGCAAAGTAAGATACTCTATAATTATTTCAAAAAATGACTTAGTACGTGGCCATTCAATACCAATTTATACTGAAACTTAAATTCTATCAAATGTCAATATAAAAGATGACTGGGCAAGAGCATGGTAGCAATTCAAGAAAAAAATCTCAGGAAGGAGAAAAGAAGAATTTCCCTATGTGAAGAGTCAACTAGTTAATTTTAAAAGATCACTGGTTGATAACCAAAGAACACAAGTCTAAAAGCATAGCCATGTCAGCTGTATTTTAAAATCTATGTACATCAGAAACCTTTCTTTTTGTTATTTTGTTATATATTGTAATTGCTGCTGACCCACTGTTAAAATTACAATTATATTTTCTTGTGCATAGATTTCTGATAAGTTTATTTTGCTTAATTTCACTACATATATTATTAATTTGTTGTATGAGGAGAAATCAGAGATAAAAAAACCTCAGGGCCCAGTCTGGTGGCACAGTGGGTTAGATCGCAACACTGCAAGTTGGCCACAGCTGCTTCAGTGTGAGTTCAATCCCTGCCCCCAGAGGTGATCCACATGGCGCTGCAGACCTCTCCTGGCCCACCAACTGCTCCCCTCAGCAGTGTACTTCCTTGATCTGCCTGTTCTGCTCCCCACTCTCACCGCTCCTGTACCTCTGGCCTGTAACCCAGTTCTGTATGCATAAATAAAATAAATCTTTGAAAAGATTAAAAACTCTCATCTATTCCTAAAACTAGGAATCAATACATGATAAAATTTCTTTGAACAACAAAACATGCCAGAATCACACATGTTTAAATTGCCCTTAATAAGGGTGCTATAATAGATGACCCACACTTAACAAAATAAATGCATTTCCTAAATGTGAAATGGGAAGAAAGAAATCAGTTAAACTGTTCTAAGAAATTTTACATAGAGAGAAACATACAATAAATCTTATTTTCATTATGAATATGTTATCCTGTTTTTTATTTAGTTAATCTCAATTAGATCAATCAAATACTAATTTCTCATAACTTCCTTTAAATGTAGTATCAGAAAGCAAAACAAGGACAAACTGTTACCTATTTATACCAGAACATCTATCCCTTGATTCATGTAGAAAGCCACAGAATGTGGCATTGTTGTAAATGTTATTCCAAAGATGCTTCAATTCCTAGACCTCATTTTCAAGATTTGTAAAGATTAGAGGGTTAAATAAAATAATCTCTCAATTCCTCAGGCTCTGTCATTTTAATAAAGTTTGTAAGATTAAATGATGAGTGGCTTTTACCATTCAGTTTCTTGGAGAAATTTACAGTAAAATGTGATGTAAAAGTATCAGTATGTTTAAGATATATTCATGTGAGCAGAACCCTCAAAATATATATTTTCTATTCATATATTTTCTAAGCACTTGTTTACAATAGCCAAATAGCTTTTCAAGGCAATACTTTGGAATTAACCCATAGCTGGAATAAAGGTGAATACCAACATGCCAATTAGCAAAAAGTGTGCACCACTTGCCTGGTTTCAGACAGTAGCATCTGTGGGGTCTCTGTTCACAGGAAGGTGTCTTAAACATACTTATACTTTCACACCACATTTTACTATAAATTTCTCCAAGCAGCTGGAGGTAGAGCCACTCATCATTTAATCTTACAAACTTTGTAAAACTGACAGAGCCTGGAGGAATTGAGAAATCATTTAACACTCTAATTTTAAAATTATATATGCAAACTTTGCCTCTTCTTTTTAGTTGATCATGGAAAACCAAATTCTCCCAGGTTGTGTTTTCCTCAAGACTTATCATTCTTTTTCTCTTACGTACATAATATGAGTTCATCAGTGATCTCGAAGATATATTTTTCTCACTTTCTACAACTTTTAATAGCTACAGTATAAAATGAGTTAAGCTTATGATATATTCATGGGTTTAAAAAAATAAAATCAGATTTCAGATCCAGCATATTACTTGTTCTCAGAATTAATTGTTTGGAGGCAAAGAAGAATAGAAGTAATGTTTGATCATACCTGAGAGACTGATCCAGAGTCATTCCTGTAAAATCAAAAAACTTCAGATATTCTTCAGCAACTAGTTTGCTAAATTCATTGCTATAATAAAACAGAATAGATTTGGTTATTAAAATCAAAGTTATGAAAATACACATACAAAAGAATGAACTCAGACGCCCGCCTTTGGACAGAACATACTTCTTGCCTAGGTGCTTTGCGACATCCGATCTTTTAAATCTGTCTAGTTGATAAAGGCGTTTGGCCAACCTTTTGGCGGCTTCTACGTTGCTGCTGGCACCATTACTGAGACTTTCTGTGGTCTCCTTTTCCACAATTTCAGTGCTCCCCATTTCAGAATGAGCCTCTAGTAGTGTTTTCACCCCAGCATTGCTGTGAGAATTGATAAAACAGAAAAAAAAAAAAGATTTTTGTTTTACAGAAAGGAAAACAGTTGATTCAATTATCATGGCACTGTAGAACCAAGTAAATGAAAATTATTTCAAATCAGATTGTTTCATAAATTTTTTTCAGTTACAATACTTCATGTATTAAAAAATTGATGATTAAAATACCAGACAAGTAATTCTTAAACCTTTGGTCTCAGAATTTCCACATTTTTTAAAGCATGGTAGACTCCAAAGCCTTTGCCTATTGATATTCAACAAAATTTTCAACTATCAGTTCATTTAAAAATCATAAATTCATTTTCTATAAAAAATACTTTTTGTTAAAAATAATAGCTATATTTTACAAGCTAACATAAAATTTAGTGAGACAAGCAACTGTCTGCGATATGCATTTTTACAAATTCCTTTACTGGCTGGCCTACTAGAAGAGAGCTGAGTTCTCATAGCCACTTCCACATTTATTTTAATATATTGGTTGTGTTGAAACAGATTAAGAAAATTGGATTCACACAGATAATCAGTAATGAAAATAAGGAGTATTTTAATATCCTTTTTGGATAACTCTTTTATTTCAGATATTCTTTTTGGTGTGATACCAAAATAAGAGATGGAATAATTGCAAAATAGAATCTAAAACACTATCAGTGAGCTTTTTGTATTTTAACGTTAGAATCTTATACTTTGAATGGAACTTTTAACCACACAAAATTCTGCAACATAATCATTTGCAAAATATTTTTGACACAATTATAAAAACAAAAAAAGGTCACCTTCATTAATGGGAACACTAATAGTTTCAGAAAAAGCTCTTAAGTAATAAAAAGGTGTTAAGATTTTGGTGGCAAATATGCTTTCCAAATTCCTTAAAGTAACAGGTTTGCTCTAATTTCAAGAACTGTTTGTAACAATCAATTCGTCAGTCATACTTTCAAGAAAAGACAGCATTCCATATAAAATGGAATTTTATTTGAGTTGGTTCACAACTCAAATTATATACAAGTGCTTTTGCTAGAGACAATTATAACAAGTGGTTAGTGTATATTTTCCACTCTATCACAAGTGAAATTAAAAGTGATGTACTCATGGGTTGAAAAGCAATTAATTTGTACTATTTTATCAGTCTTCTTTACTGGGCAGTGTTTGTATTTTGCATGCATGCACTTGAAGAACACAGTAGTTAGAGTAGCTTAATGATACCATCTTGCTTTGTGCTAAGACTACATCATTGCTTTTCAGTGCAACTATCCACATACTGAAGAAGGAAAACAATGCTTTACTGTTGTTCTAAAATAACCTTGACCTCACAAACTTACTGAAATGGTCTCAGGAAGTACTACAGACCATACGGTAAGAAGAGGGTTACAAGCTGCAATCTTTGGCCAGCTGTACAATGCCACATCATACATGTATAACACTAAAACCAATGAAAACTTTAATTTCCAAATCTTTGCTTTTTTATTTGGTAACAGTAAAGCCATGTGCATAATAAAATACTGTGATTAAGCAGATCTTCAATACAGTGCAGACTTTAAGGCAGACATAGTTAGAATTCTTCTGTACTAGACCAGATAGTAAATACTTCAGACTTGCAGATATATCAGGTCCCATCACCACACATGCTGCATTGTTTGTTACGTTATTTTAAAGCATAAAAGTCATTCTAGGCTAATCTGTAAGGGGCTCACAGCCCCAGTGCGCATGCTCCTGCTCTATCCCAAGGGCTTGAATTTTAAAAGGAAGCACCTATTATCTGAAGGAGAACACTCTAAAGAGGAAACAGTGATGATAAAATTATTCAATATGCAATTATAATGTTACAAAAAAGTTAACAAGTTTAGAAAAGCATTACAAATTAAAGACTATAATGCTAAATGGCAAAAATCATTTCCCCACAAATGAATACATATTTAAGGAGAACGGCTCATTTATTCCATTTTATTTACAATTTCCTCTTTCCCACTGACCCACCAACCCAGTGGTGGTCTAGTAGTTCCACCATCACTCCGTGCAGCTCGGGGACGGCATAGCTCCTGGGCCTGCAGTCTCCCAACACCTCCACCACTGCCTGACTGCAAGCGCCTTCCAGCTCCCGCTCACTGTATGAGCAAGAAACCCACGTGCTGTTTCCTCAAAAGGGAGAGGTTATCCCACATTGTCTTTTAGATTCAGCTATGTGAAATTCTGTCAATGCACATGTCAACTCACACATTCCAGAACAGATCCCAGAGAAACTGGAACTACAAAGTGGAAAGTTGGCAAACTCGTGCTAGCTTATTTACTGTAACTATTAATAAAAAAATACTTCATTTTTTAAAGTCAGTCAAATGCTAAACCACAGTCAATGCCAGGGCAATGGACATAACTGGAAATGGCACAGACAAACCAAGATATTTGGTAACCTTCAGTCAATCACCTTAAACAATTTTCCAACAGACATATCCATCAATTAAAATAAATGGCTTCATTATGAGGAAATTTTCAGCAAATGCAGTTGGATATTTTTGCATCCTAAATTTTCCTTTATAGAAATGTTCCTTACCAGAAAACTGAGTATTACAAAATAAAGAAAAATATACAGCAAAGCTACAATACATTCATAGAAGAAATTTCTGTAGGGACAACTCACAATTGCTTTGTTTTCTCATATAAATGGTAGAAATAGGAAATATTTGCTCAAAACTATTTTAGATACAATCAAGTAACTTGTATAGTTACAAAAATAAAATCCTGGAGTTGTATTCTATACAGTTCTCTATACATAAGCTATCATGGAAACAAAGTCAACAAAAAAATAAGACTGTCAGAATTTTCTTCTCAAACTGCCACTTACTATTCATGTCTCAGGGCATATATTTAATACAAAACAGGTTCTGTCCAAATATAAGAAACACACAGGTTCTGTCCAAATATAAGAAACATTCTAATGAGCAAATATTTTTCCAATGTGGTCAAATCATTCCTATTTCTCATGTCTCTCATTCCACATTTTTGACTCTTCTTTCTACTCCCTTGCCCAGCCCAGTCTATTTTACCCATTTTCCTCATCAGAGAAGATCATTTTAAAATCTGTGTGCATCAGGCTTCCCTGGTTCTTCTTGAAAAAATCTTCAGTAAAAGAGAAAATAAGCACTGGGTCCTCCCTGGTGGCACAAGGGGTTAAAGCACAGCACTGCAAAGCTAGCTGCAGCCACTTCAGCACAAGTTTGATCCCTGGCCAAGGAGGTGACCCCCATGGTGCAGCAGACCTCTCCTGACCCACTTGCTGCTCCCCTCAGCAGTGTATTCATCAATCTGCCTGTTCTGCTCCCCATTCTCTCTGGTGAATCCTCTCACCACCCTGTACCTCTGGCCTGTACCCCAGTTCTCTATGCATAAATAAATTAATTAATTAAAATAATAAAAGAGAAAATAAGAACTGTAGTGTGGGTATATACTTCCATTCCTAAAGGCTTCATTCTATACCATTTCATGATTTATGAGATTATATAAGAACAGAGATTGCTTTTAAATCAGAAAGCCTGGAATATGATAGCAACACAAACTCACCAGCAATGAGACAGACAACAGGAAGAACTCATCTTGGAGCCGTGAGCACGTCTGGGCCATACTTCCCCTTATCACCCTCTTCCCAGCATACTTCTCTCAACCCCAGTGTCTGCTGGTCCACCAGGACTTCCAAGGACCTGGCTCCCTGTGAGGTCATATTACTATGACCTCACATTCTCAGCAGAGTGTTTATTGTTGGGTTTCTGTAATGTTTTTACACCCCCAATAAAAATAGGAGGCAGAACAGAGGGCCACTGTCTGTCAAGAGTATAAACAACAATGGCAGCCCAGCCACTTGATAAAGCAAACTGGATGATCCTCTCAGCGGGGATAACACCCCATTTTGTTTCTTGAAATACACAAGACATTGTCTATCTAGTCTGTTGAATATTAAATGCTTTTAGTAATTGGACTTTTCCCTTCCCTTTTTTTTTGGCCTAATCAAGTAACTTTACAATCTCATACGGTAAAATCCCCTTTACTTAAATGTAGAGAGGACATGCTCTTTACTGGGACCTCACACTTCCAAACATATGTGCTAATACTCTGTCATCAAAACACTATGACCAAGAAAAGGGTCATATCATTCAACCTAGTCACCAGGCCTTTCCATAACCTTTTCATCCTACCAGGGTTACTAGATTTTCTAAATAAAAATAATTAGAACACTGAATTAAATTTGAATTTTAGATAATTTTTTAATAAATAGGTCCAAAATATTACACAGGTAGGTATGCACAGGGCATACCCCCCACTCATCCACAAAATTCACCTTTTATCTGAAATTCAAATTTAACTGAGATCCTATATTTTACCTAGTAAACCCTATATTCTTAAATATTTGTTCTAAGTTTTAAAGAGTTCCAATAATGACATTCATTGAGTGTCAAACGGTAGCAATTTTTACAATCATCTTCCTACTTAGCTTGTTTGACCTTCTTCTATTTTTCTACAGTTCTAATCAAGACCTCCTCTCAGTTGCCTATGACCTACTAAATGTCCTCTAATGTTTCATAAGCTCCTGAAAAGAAAGCTCTCCTTTCTCTGCATTTTCATCCTTCTTTCCCACACTGTACATTTCCATGACAAGTGTGATAAATATGCATCCTTTACAAAATTCTTAGTAAGAGAAGATTCATGCTGTGGAATGTCATATGAGGAGGCCCTCAAACAGACTGATTTTTTTCAGATTTCTCACCTGCCATATTCCTCAGAAATAAAAGCTGTGTTCTTATGCCCCTTTCACATGCTGTGTCCTGAGCCATTCTTACTACCCCCAAACAAAATTGACTAACTTACTGACCTATAAAAGTCTGCAGAAATATCTGCTCTTATAAAAAGCATATTGCCACACTTTTAGAGCACCTGCTATAAACCTTTACTACAGCATTGCCTTAAAAAACCTCCAACTGGTCTCACCCACTGCTACCTTGAATT